AATGTGAGATCAAACTAGAGCTTACATAGTTTTGCTCTATCCTTTGCTTTGACTTTGTGTGCCCAGATCTAGTTCTCCTACTGAGTCTGATTCTCAAGGTAGGAGAGCTTGGCTGGCACATGTGCACAGCAGTAGAAGCTTGCACAGTTGATGAGGCAAGGCACAGTTGAGTACTAGCTCAAGCAGTAGCTCTTCTCGCTGACTGGCATGCATTCGTCCTTGCATCTTCACCAGCATACCCTTACGACTTTCTTCGCCTTCATATCCTTATAATGCTTACGACTTGACCAGGTTCAGCTTTCCTTTCTCACAGATCAGATACACATTCTCCCAGTATTTGTACTTTCCTCCCTTTTCATAGCATTCGCAGGCAAATTTCAGAACAACCAATCTTTCCAACCCCATTGGAAAACGGAGATGAGTGTCACACATGGCTAGCATCGCTATGTATCATGTCCCTCTGAACTTGACTCTTTCAGATGGCCTGTGTGGCTATATGCCACAACTCAGAAACACAGACATACATTCTCATTCTTGGTTCAATCCATATCATTAGCAAGCTGCAAAACAAAACTACCCCTCTCACCCATCTCTCGAACTTCCCGGCACCCCCCCGCCTAAACTCGTCACTGCCTTACTATCCAATGGCAACCCCATTTGAGGATCAATATTGTTCTTCACCAAAATCTGTTTATGCCTTATCAACCTTGCCTGATCGAAGCTGACACCCTGAGTCTGCATGATCGTCTGAATATCTTGTGCTCCACTTGGGTCTAGCCCAGAGCGAGAATCTCCATCAGCGATGTTAGCTGAAATGTCGAATAGAGTGGATGAAAGACCGTTTGCAGTGTTGCTGGACCAGTCAAATCCAGGCACTGGCATATAGCGGCGTGCAGTTGGGGAAAGCAAGCCGAATAAGTGGGAGAATAAGCCGGATGATGGGGGAGAGGTTGCATAGGGAAGAGATGCGGAGGGTGGTGGAGGTTGGAGTGAGGCTGGGAGATGGGATGTGAGGGAATGGGGTAGGAGGGAGCGGCTGCAGTAGAGGATTATGAGTAGGGAGAGGATGAAGGTTGCTGTTAGAATGCTGTGGTACATTGTTGCACGATCCTTTGAGTGAAGGGTTCGGGGATGCGAATGGAGTTGATGCTAGCCTGATAGATAGCTCCTTCTTGGTCGGCAATATGTGATGTCGTGTGGAACTTTGTGATCTGCGATAGCCTAATTCGTTACAGTGTTGCTAACGTTGGCAAGCCCCGGACTTCGAGGGCTGACCTGATCGATCAAGGCAGCTGATTGTCGTCAAACCAACCAGAGATTGACTATGCAGCAAATCGACACCCCGAATCTGTCTCGTCTTACTTCGGATGAGACGACTTCTACCGTGTGTCAGCGGTTGCACGCCCAAAACCTGATATCTGTAATAGAGCCACATCTATTACAAATCCTGTTGAGTTATGCAACAGTGCTTGTGGTATTACAATTCTTGCTGAGTTATGTCATAGAAGCATCTCTATGACTTTACTCACTTGAATATGTAACAGAGTATATGCTATTGCAGATTTTGACTGACCACTGTGGACACTCTGTCCAGAGGTAGCTTGGCATGATCAATAACTGATATGAACTGGTACTAACACCAAGGTCTGGTGTGATTAAGATTGTTGTTGTTGCCAACACAAGTGTCCAGTGTGTCAACTGAATGCTTGAGGTGATCCCTGGACTGCAGTGGATGACTGCCTTCAGTTCTATCATTATCCGGACTGCAGGTTTCTATGAACCGCCTTCGGATGTCAGTGAGCGGTGTGTAAGCGGTCACGCGCCAGAGACTAGTTTTGGGTGTTATTCAATTGGTATAGATGGGGTTGATTGAGTAAGGTCTACTCAGTATGTTTCAACTAAACATAACCAGGCATCTTCAACTGGTAAGTCTCAGCTGACCACCTAGAACACTCCATTCAGAGGTTGTGCAGCACATTTGCTGTTTGTTGGAGAGTGAGTGATACCCTCTCCTTACAGTATGAGTGTTCGCAGTACTGTTGATAATGCTCTTGGATGTTGTCTGGACCATGATATACTTATCACCTACAGAGGACAGGAGTTATTGGACTGCAGGTGTGAGCCACCACCTACAATAACTGACTGGACTGCAAGTGTCGAGCAACACTGCCTACAGCAAGAGACTGGACCACAAGTGTTGGAGAACACTGCCTACAGTTGAGAACTGGACTGCAAGTGTTTGGAGAACACCACCTACAGTTGATGCCTAACGGTGATACAACACACATGTTTGAGGGTCATTGCAAAAGCACTGCTATTGCACTGATACATAACTAAGAGTCAAGTAAAGAGTAAAGTATAAAGTAAGTAAGTAGAGTGGATGAGGATCCACTCATATGCTATGGTGGAATAAGAGTATTTATGCATTTGATTGGTGTTGCCTGTGACACCTATCCCATTCCTCTTGAGGGGCCTTTGTCCCCTGTTCGACACTGTCTCTCCTGCTGGTGTCAATCCCTTTGATGCTGTGCCCCTACCATCTGCACAGTGTAATGGTTATGCAACACTGCCCTTTTGCCTTCATGCTCCCTTTCCACTTGATGATGTGTGACAACCCCTTCAACACAACTCCTCCTCTTTGTTTAACCAATCCATTCACTGCTTCCTTCTCTCTTCACCAGCAACCACCTTCCTGACCTTATCTTGTGAATCCCCTTAGCCACTTGTTGGACCTCATGACCAAACCCCTTGGTCATGTGGTCACCCCCTGTGCTTGGTCCTGTGTGGCTATATGCATGCACCCCTCAAGCAGTAACTGTCTGCATGATGCTGAGCTTGGTCCCCCACTCCTACATGTGGTTATCTCTGTATGCTTCTCCTTCTAATGCCAGTACCTTCCTTCCTGAATCTCCTGATACTTGCTTGTATTGGCCAACTTGCTGAGGCATGCTGATCCAGCCGATTCCAATTGATCCTTGTGAGATTAACCTGGAACCCAGAGTTTGGTCAATCTCATAAATCATATGTGCTACCAGCCCAATTAGCTTTGTTGATTCCCAATGAGTTGGCACTGATCAATTTGGCACTCCCTTCATATGTTGATCTGCTGACTCTGTGAAATTACCATGAATGCTGTCAGTCAATTTGGCGCACCCTTCATATGCTGGCCCGCTGGCCCTGTGACACGGTGATACAACACACACGCTATGATGTATGCAATCTATTGAGATTGCAACTTGCTGACTGAATACTAATGTAAACTTCTGTGTAAAGCTATAACTAGTAATGTATGGTGTAGAGTGGATGGAGATCCACTCATCCACCTATGACAAGAAGGTATGGTTATATACATCTTTGCAGTGTCACCTGTGACACTGCTCTGGCTCTCTCTCCAGAGAGTACCCTCTTTGTCAAGTACTGTACAGGAGTCCCTGTAACATTGCTCCTGTCCTTCCTGAGCTATGTGTCGACCTCTTTGACACAGCTCTTCCTCCTCATGACCTATATGCTGGTGTCAATGACACAGCTCTCCTTCCTCCTAACCAGCAACTGTTCTCCTGACTCTTGTCATGTGAACCCCTGAGTGGTAACCAGCTGCATGCTTCTGGGCTTGGTCCCTGTCTTGGCAGAGCTTGGTCCTCCTTGCATGTGAGTTTGTTGTATGATCATCCTTGCCACTGATCTCCACAGGATCTGCTATATGATCTCTTCTACTACTGATCTCAGTGGATTCATGATACTATCCTTGCTCATGCCAATCTTGGTGGGATCTGTCATAGAACTGTTTCTACTACAGATCTTGATGAACTCTGCTGCAAATCCCACAATCTGCCCAATTCCTTGATTCCTGCACTCCCTTCATATGAGCTGATGGTTCTTCCTACTTCTTGCGCATCCAGGCCCATGACACTGTGGTGCAGACTCTGTTGATTGCAAGAAGTGCAACTGCTTTCGTACCGTGTTTGTAGAGCAGCTTGGGTTTGTTTGTAATTGCAGGAAAAGGATCCGCTTTCGTTGTCATCGTCACCTCGCTAGCTTCTGCAGGTAAGATGTGCATGACAAGGAAAGCTTTGTTTGGATAGCCTATGATCCCACCCAGAGTCCTCTGCTTGATGGTGATGGTGGCAACTGGTATTGATGCGCCGCTCGAAGTCTGTGTGGGGGTGATGCTGAGTAAGCTATCAGGTGTGGCTTAAGTGAACGTCTGGACCTCGTCTACATCAAAGACTTTGGTGCTTTGTTTGTTTGCTGTCTATTCAGCTTCACGGTTGCGAACAACTGCTAAGTCTTTGATGGAGGATCAAGAGGCCAGACCTTTACTTGTCAGAGAGTTTTGGTAATTTGTTTGTTCATCATTATCTCACAGATGCATATGATGGAGCTTGAGGGGAAATAGATGTTGGCCTAGACCTAAAGCCTTCAGCCACTGGAGCTTTTAGCTTTGTTTGTTGCTCGAAGTAAGAAGCCTACCAAAACAAGGTTGGCTCGTGCTTTGAATTTCAGATCCGGGGGTAGTAACGTGGAGGTCCTAACCTTCTCGAAATCGGCGAGGGTATATGTATAAAACAAAAGGCTATACTGACGATGATTGGCTGGTTGGTGAAGTGGCCTAACACACTGGTTTTAGGAACCAACTGCAAATCTGCAGTTTTCTAAGCTCACACCAGGATTCCTGGGTTCGAATCCCAGACTAGTCACTTCCTTAATTTTTTTTTATGTTTTCTTTTTTTCACTTCTCCTCAACACATTATGGTCCCCTCACATTAGATCGAGACTTCTTGGTCCAGCTGCAATGTGGCTCGCACTGTGGACAGAGCAGACTAGCAAAGCCATTCGTGGAGGAAAGAGAGCTTCGATGACAGTTAAAACTAGGGGAAACGTTTGATACCCCCTTAGGATTGGGCGAGATGAACATGAGGAGTACTCAATCAAGTCAAGAGTTTTTGATTATGTTCAGATTTGAAGCAAGGGTATCAACATGCATTGCGAGAAGAAAAGCGCTAGTCGACCTCCTGAACGATCTCCATTGCAACATTTTGCCTCTCCATGGTGAAAGCTGGCAGGGCGGCAAAAGTCTCGGAAGCAGAAATAGTAGCACTTTTCAACAGCAATTCTTCCTCCATTTCCTCTGTTCCCTCCTTCAACAGCGTATAGTCGTTACTTATACTTCTTCTCCCATCCGTTTTCATTCCTCGCTCTCCCCTTCCTTCTCCCGCAATAGGGAAAACGAGGGTGGTGGGAGGATCCAACATACTAATCGGTCCAGCCTTTTTCTGACTCGCTTCACCGATCAACCTCCTTCTAGGTGTGTTAAGATCAGTTTGTTTGAAAGGGGGTCTTACTGGTGAGGCCAAGTTCTCCATCATATTCCGGGTCTGACTGTGAGCTAGTTCCATCAATTTTCCATTCACCTTTCTCAGGCGTTCTGCTTCGGTTTGAAGTTCGAGTATGAATTCATCTTTTTCTTCGATCCGTCGCTGCATCGCGTTGAGTCTGTCGGTGAATTCTCGTTCGACATCTTCGCGGATCTTGGGTGGGGCGTCGGTTGCTTGTGCCTCGCAAACCATTTCTAATTCTTTCACTTCTTGTTGGAGAGAGGCGATGAGTGTAGTTTGGTCCATGGATGAAGGAGGGATGGGTGGTCGAGACGCCAGTTCAGCTGTAAGCGATGCGATGCGGCGGTTGGCGAGGAAAAGTTTCTCTGCAAGTACGTGCGGCGGATCGGATAGCGTGAGGGAAGGTTTGGTTGGTGACACTGGTCGAGCATAAGAGCTGTTGCTGGTGGACCTCGAACTTCCCGCTGTCAGGGCGGAAGAGGAAGGAGTGCAAAGTCCAGTGCCTTCTTCATCAGAGGCTTCTTCTCCATCGTGTGTTCTACCTCCACGGACGACGAGCGATCCGATAATTTCGAGTCTCTCCTGTAGCTCTCGTATTCTCTCCTCCCCTACAGTCTCCTCTACTTTCTGCTGTTGCAAGTCGAGGACCATCTTTCGCAAGGCATCTGCTTCAGTCTGGTATCGAAGGATGAGTGCTTGTGCCTCAGCGCCGATTTCGCCTCCTACGCCGAATTCGTTCTTCTTCGCGTTCAAGCCGACTTTCTTGATCCTCTTTGCAAACTTCAGCGTCGACAAGCTTTCCTCCACAGCATTCGGGGTCGGGTTGAGCGTGCATACGACCGCAACCCTCGCATTGCCCGACAAAGAGTTCTGCAGAATCCTGGTGAGTTTGCTATCTCGATAAGGAATGTGAGTTCCAGAATTGCGTTCCGAGAGCGCATAGATCACTTTACCGAGAGTAAGAAGCGATTTATTAATGTGCGAACCTTCCGTTCTCCTCTCCCCACCCTGAGAGATGTACTTTTCCGAACCGGCAAGGTCGATCAGGCAGAGCTCGGAAACGGTGACTTTCTTCCCCACGTCAGCGGGTGTGTTTCTGTCCCAGGATTCGATCGTGATCTTAAAACAGGTGTGCGAGCGGGATGAACGTTCGTTCCAGTCCGTAGCTCCGACGTGACGATTTGCTTGGCCTCGAGAGAGGAGTTCGCGAACTTGGGAGGGGCTGGTGACGATTTCTTCTCGGAGTGGTTGGACTGTGGTCCCTTTTCCACCACGTTTTCGTTTGTCGTCGCGGACTTGGGGGATGTTGGAGGGCTCAAGGAGGTCTTTCACGACTTCATTCCAGATTTCGAGGTAGCTTGCGCGAAGGAGATACTCTCGACGAGCGGAAGACTGTTTGATGCCGCGGAAAATGTCGCGGACTGCACGGGGGATGATACCCGCTTCCTCGCCTTTTTCGTCTCCGGACAAGGTGAAGGTTTTGCCGGAGGCTGTTTGGCCATAAGCGAAGACGACAGCATCGTAGCCGTCCAGTGCGGCTCGGATGAGCGGGCGCGCTACAGTGATGTAGACGGGTCGATTCGAGGATCCGGTCTGGATGGAGTCGAATGTGAAAGGACCCACAGAGGAAGTGCGAGCAGCAGAAAGAGAAGGATCGAGGGAGATAGTGGAAGAGTGAATGTTGGGGACCCAAGCACATGGTTCGTTGGGTTTCGGTGGTCGAAGACGGACGTGCACCTGCACAGTCTCTTCATTCGAAGGAGACGAGGGAGTGTCGTCTGCATTGTATACAAAGGAGCTATCTCCTGCCGTATTGTCCGCTTCAATGGCGCTAGAATCAATATTGGTATCGGGTAGCCAATTGGAAGAGGAGTGAGCGTGGGATGCCGCATCAAGTACTCGCTCTGGTTCACGAATGAATTGTTGCAAGGGGTGTGCTGTTCGAGTGAATGACGCGGCCATACGCTGCTGATCGTGCGAAGCGACTGCTCGAAGTGCTGAGGTGGAGGCATGCTTCTTCGGCGATCGGATGCGAGCAGCAACGTCGGCTGAGACAGGCGCTTTGATCTTAGGCGTCAAAGGTGCCGCAGCTGGGGTGGTTGTGCGAGCTGTCATGGTGGTTGGCGTGTGCGAGCGAGGTCTCACCTGCGGTTGCTGATCCTGAGCAGACGGTGCCAAGGTCGATCGTGTCTGGAGCAGAGGAGTAGTGGCGGCAGAGATAGGTGTGCTGAAAGGTCCTCTTTCTGTGAGAGGCGGTGCGAGCTTGCGAGGCGTTGATCGGGTAGTTCTTGCTGGTCTCTGAGGTGATGTGACCGTGGCCTGGCTCAGTTGGTGGCGAGCAGCTGACGTGAACGGCGAAGCGTGGGAAGTCTTTTCCAGCGCTGAGGCTGGTCTCGCAGGTACAGATAGGCCAAGCTGATCTCCAGTCACCAGAACGCTGTGCCTCTTGCTCACTCCCACGGTCGGTAACGAGTCGGCACTCGCAGTAGCCTCAGATACGAGATAGGTGTAAGGAGCTGTTTTCGTCAGCTTGCGTTTCGGTACGAAAGGCTCCCGTACAGCCGCGGATGATAAAGAGCGTCGGTCTTCCAGGTTGAACTCTGTGTCGATGGGCGAGGATCTGATATGAGTGGTTGTGATGGTGGTCGCGGATGCTGCTGTGGCCCGCGTGACTGCAGGTGACATGAGTGGGTGCAGACCTAACGTTGCATGCATACACCTACACGATGTTTGTGCAGCTGCAGCGCAGTTCAAGTTCTACTGAAATATGCAGTTTTATGAAGTGTCGAAGCCAGTCAAAGTGCGTGGTATTCCAGAGGAACGAAAGTGCGTTCAGGATCGAAGCCAGGGGGTCGAAGTATATCGTGTATGCCAGAGGAAGGATATACTGGGTAGGAATCCGGGGGTATGCTTCAAGTCGTCTATAGTGCGATCCGATGATGGTCAAGACAGAGCAGATGGTCAATGCTTGGATCTACGTTGCGAAGCCTCGTTCATTCATTTGTGTCCTGGGAGAGAGAGGCAGAGCTCAGGAAAGGCGGCAGAAAAAAAAGACCAACACTAGGGGGTTTCAGTTATCTCTGAGTTTTGAAAACACAATACTTTGAAAATATGTTTGGGCCCAATTTTTGACGCCCCAAGAAACTGCACAGGCCTGTGACACATGCATCTTGGAGTTTCACTTGACTTGCCTGGTAAAAACAATCTCTGATTCCCTACACCAGGTCAAGATCAAAGTGATCATATCAGACATTGTTGAACACTATACTGAACAATGCCAAAACCTTTGATTGAAAAGCTAAAGCAAATAGCTTACATCACACCTGTTCTGATTGCTGTCTTCTGCAAGCCTCATGCCATCAGTTTTGTCTCTCCTGCCATTCAGTGAAGGCCAATGTTGTCATTCCCATCCTTTGAGATTCTGCTGTTGTGTCCTCAAAAGGGCAGCCATGAGAAGCAAAGAGTGCAGTGAGCATTGTCATGGGCCTGGATGCTCAAGAAGCAGGAGGGTCACGGGTTCATATGGAAGGAGCACAGGTATCGAAGATCTAGTCGAGATCAGTAGATAGCATGGTTGTAGTGCAGTCTCCATGGAGACCATGGACTCCTATGGACTCACATGCAAAGGAGGGCCAAGCACAGCCACGAGGAGGACCAAGCTCAAGGAGCAGGCACAGCCATGAAGAGGACCAAGCTCAAGGAGCATGCAGATGGTTACCACTCAGGGGCTCGAGAGACAAGAGCCAAAGGAACTGTCACTGATCAAAGGAGGAGGAGCAGTGTCGAAGGAGTCGACACCAGGTCATGAGGAGGAGGAGCAGTGTCGAAGGAGTCGACACCAGGTCATGAGGAGGAGGAGCAGTGTCGAAGGAGTCGACACAGCTCAAGAGGCACAGGGGTGCCAAGCAGGAGAGGCCCCTGAGCAGTACTCGATGAAGAAGGTACTCTCTGGAGAGAGAGAGCAGGAGCAGCATCGCTGGCGATGCTGAGAAGAGGTATATAACCATGCTTTCTCATCATCATAGGTCGAGTGGATCCTCATCCACTCTACTCACCATATAACTAGTTATCACTTCAGCATAAGTATACATTAGTTTCAGTCAGCATAGCAGCAATCTATCAAGGTTGCTCCTCATCATAGTGTGTGTGTTGTATCACCACTACCTGACATCCGAAGGCGCCCATAGCAGGTTAGTGGTCTGGATCAAGATAGAACCGAAGGCAGTAGTCCACTGCGGTCTGGGGATCACTTCAAGCATCAAGTCAACACACTGGACACTCATGTTGATGCCACCAACCTTATCACCAACACCATCAACCTCATTATCATCGACATCACCAATCTCATCACCAACACCATCAACCTCATCATCATCAACACTCACACCAGACCTTGGTGTCATCATAACATCGATATTGATCATGCCGAGCTACCCCTGAATGGAGTGTCCACAGAGGTCAGCCGAAACCTATGATAGTATATACAACGAATGCCACCTGCTGTCACTGCACAACTTGATAGTCACCAATACCGAGACAACAGCTGTCGCACAGTTTGATAGTCACCGAGTATCTCGACAGACCGACCTGGGTTTCAGGCGCGAGACCTCTGACAAGCATCTCCTCCCTAAGATCCAGTGCTTTCTCCTGCCTGAACTTCTGGACTCAGTTCTGAGACATGCCCTCCATGGCAGCAGCCTGTTCCTGTTCGTATTGCTGCTGGTTTTCCCTTCATTGTATCCTTGCATCTTCAGTAGCCTGCTGATATGCTTCCATCCCTGACGTGGTCTCCAGCACCTCAGCTTCAGATAGAGTTTCTGATGCCTTAAGGTATTCTGCCACCTCATCTGGTCGATCATAACGGCTTGCAAATGTATGTGCAATGATACAAGCCTGGACTGTATGTGCAGCTTTCTCGTGGTCCTCTTCTCGATACAGGTTGCCTTGAAATCCCATGAGACATTGGAAGCGGTTTGTCATGGGCCTGGATGCTCAAGAAGCAGGAGGGTCATGGGTTCATATGGAAGGAGCACAGGTATCGAAGACCTAGTCGATACCAGTAGAGAGCATGGTCGTAGTGCAGTCTCCATGGAGACCACGGACTCCTATGGATTCACATGCAAAGGAGAACCGAGCCACATGCGAGGAGGACCAGGCACAGCCACGAGGAGGACCAAGCTCAAGGAGCAGGCACAGCCACGAAGAGGACCAAGCTCAAGGAGCATGCAGATGGTTACCACTCAGGGGCTCGAGAGACAGGAAGTCGACACAGGTCAAGAGGAGGAGGAGCAGTGTCGAAGAAGTCGACACAGGTCAAGAGGAGGAGGAGCAGTGTCGAAGGAGTCGACACAGGTCATGAGGAGGAGGAGCAGTGTCGAAGGAGTCGACACAGGTCATGAGGAGGAGGAGCAGTGTCGAAGGAGTCGACACCACTCAAGAGGAACAGGGGTGCCAAGCAGGAGAGGCCCCTGAGCAGTACTCGATGAAGAAAGTACTCTCTGGAGAGAGAGAGCAGGAGCAGCATCGCTGGCGATGCTGTGAAGAGGTATATAACCATGCTTTCTCATCATCATAGGTCGAGTGGATCCCCATCCACTCTACTCACCATAACTAGTTATCACTTCAGCATAAGTATACATTAGTTTCAGTCAGCATAGCAGCAATCTATCAAGGTTGCTCCTCATCGTAGTGTGTGTGTTGTATCACCACTACCTGACGTCCGAAGGCGCCCATAGCAGGTTAGCGGTCCGGATATAGATAGAACCGAAGGCAGTAGTCCACTGCGGACCGGGGATCACTTCAAGCATCAAGTCAACACACTGGACACTCGTGTTGACGCCACCAACCTTATCACCAACACCATCAACCTCATTATCATCGACATCACCAATCTCATCACCAACACCATCAACCTCATCATCATCAACACTCACACCAGACCTTGGTGTCATCATAACATTGATATTGATCGTGCCGAGCTACCCCTGAACGGAGTGTCCACAGAGGTCAGCCGAAACCTACGATAGTATATACAACGAACGCCACCTGCTGTCACTGCACAACTTGATAGTCACCGATACCGAGACAATAGCTGTCACACAGTTTAATAGTCACCGAGTATCTCGACAGACCGACCTGGGTTTCAGGCGCGAGACCCCTGACATTAGAGTGGATCGTTCAAGCAGCTCCTCACGATCACCATGACGGACCCAGACCTCAACAATAAGCTCGATAGACTACTCACTCTATTGGAAGCACAGCTAGAGCTTACCAGACAGGGTCATCGAGAGGAACGATTACAACGAGCTCAACTGAGCAGGGAGGAGACAATGGACCTCTCTCACTCAGAAGACCAAGCAGGAGGAGGAGATGAGTCTATGATAGGAGACCCACATACTCCTACTCCAGCTCCACGACCAAGACGATCAGTCTCATTCAACCTGGAGGAGCAGGAGGACATCAACTACGAGAAGTATGCTTCACCTACTGGGCCAAGATATGTCAAGACTAAGCTGGACCCCTACAGCAGGACTAGGACGGACCCTTACCCCCTGGACCACGAGGAGGATACCAGCATCATGGCAGAGCTTAACCGGTCAAAGCCCATTGCCACCCCCTTTCCAAAGTTCAATCCCCGAGACATGGAGATCTTCATTCTAGAAGCCGAAGCATGGTTTAAGTTCAACCAGGTGTATGAGCAGTCTAGGATGATCAATCACATGGGTGCTCAACTGGAAGGGACAGCAAGAGAGTGGTGGACCTCCAAGCTCCGTATTGATAGAGCTAGAGAAGGAAGGTTGTTCAATGATTGGCACTACTTCACAGAGCGACTGTCAGAGCAGTTCAACCCACGCAATGCTAGGATGGAGGCATACAACAAGCTGTTGGCTCTCAGACTCACAAGTGATGCTCCTGGTGCCGCCACACGTCATGTAGAGCGGTTCAGAGACTTGGAAGGACAGGTCAACCTAGATGACAATGAGCTAGTGATTGATCTCTTCAGAGGTAGTCTCACTCGTAGCATACAGGAGAAGTTCGAGAGGAATCCACCTGGGAAGAGATGGGAGTGGTATCGAGAGGTCGAGGAGATCGATCGACAGAGGATGCTACTACAGCAGTCCTCGGCTAGACACTCACTTCCAAATGCCACGTCACCTCCACTAAGAACTGGGTCTCGGCCAAATCAAAGTTCAATCCCCATCCGACAACCCACTCAACCTTATCCAGCTCGATCACCATCACAAGCAACTACACAAGCAACTATACAAAACCTAAACCGACCCCTTCCTCATCATCCCACCCAACCTTCGAAGCAAGGAAGCCCTGCTCCATCAGGTATCAACACCTGTCATGTATGCAAAGGTATTGGCCATTGGGCCAGAGACTGCCCCAGCAGGAGGGTAGACCCTCTTAGCTCTCGACCCATGGGACCAAAGGTTATGGTCACCACAGCAGACCCCTTCGAGGAGGCCACCGACTCAGGAGATGGCCACACAGGCAGCACTGAGACGGGTGACCCCGAGGCCATGGACCTCAGCTCATACCAGCAACCCATGGACCCCGATCACGAGGAGGAGCACAATGATGATGACGACGAGGGAAACGTCAGTGGGGTGATGCACTGATGGCATGCATTGCTCTACAAACCTCCTCGCCATCACTCTGTATATATCAAGATTGTCAAG